TATATATATATAGAGAGAGAGAGAGAGAGAGAGAGAGAGAGAGAGAGGGCGTTAGTACGACCTGAATGACCCATGTCATGGCAAAGGACTATGCATAAAAATATACAATACGTATAATATGTATATATGTATATATTACACATATATAATAATAATCATCATAATCATAATAAAAATAAATATAATACTACTACTAATAGTGGACCAATGGACCAGTGTGACCAGTGGCTGCTACTGCAGCTGTCCCTATGCCGGAAAACCCTCTCTGCATGCATGCTGCAACAACATATGTTGTTTTGGGGCTTTTTACCTGCAACAAGAATAAGAGCAATATCTCGCGGCTGTCGGCTCTTTACAAGAGACAATAAACTCAGCAAGGCAAACGTTTTTTGGGCAACCTGAATACAAACCCTAAACCCTAAACCCTAAACACCGTAAACACGAGAGAGAACAGAAATACAATACAATTATACACAATAAAAACCATGTCCTTGTGCTGCGTTATAAGGAACAGGAAAAAAAGTGTAATATATTACAAAATAATTAAATAGAATAAAATAATTAAATATAATTAAAAAAGAGAATAACTAACCATGAGTGCATGCAGTACATTATGATAAGGAATAGGAAGATAATGTTTAAGGAATTTATCGATAGTGTAATAAAGTAATGCAAATAAATAGAATAAAATAATAAAATAAAATAAATAAAAAGAAAAAGAGAAGACAGAAGAATAACTAACCATGAGTCCATGTAATGCATTATGATAAGGAACAGGAAGATAATGTTTATCAATAGCTCTAAGGAATTTAGCGATAGTTTGTTCTGAGCATAAATTTGATTCAATACAAAAATAACTTAATAACATAAATCCCATTTCTGGTAATGGAGAATTACACTCCATTCCATAATTTAATACATCAAAACGCCAATCACCTAATGAACCAGATAATGTTGAACCACCCTGCATGCATACATACATATATACATATATACATACATACATACATACATATATACATACAACAAACCCTAAACCCTAGGAAACCCTAAACCCTAAACTCTAATCCCTTAGAAACCCTTGGAAACCACTGGAAACCCTTGGAAACCCATGGAAACACTTGGAAACCCTAAACCCTAAACCCTAGGAAACACTTGGAAACCCTAGGAAACCCTATGAAAACTAAAGCCTAAATTATAAACCCTAAACACTAATAGATATATATAGGGAATGGGATAGGAGGTCATAGCTATATAATGCTTAGAAGGAAAAAGAATACAGAGGAAGAGGATTATTATTATGGTCAGCATACGAGAAACCCTAAACCCTTAACCCTTAACCCTCGATGCTTACAGTGAGACCTGGGGAGAATAGATAAGAGACTCGTATAAGTTTATCTTCTCCTGCTGTATGTCTTTCATGTGTTGCTTTGCTTGTTCTTCTTGGTATAAGAAGCATATCTGATAGTACAGAGCTACGGTTACTGTTTCTTTCTGTTGTTTCCTCATGAGGGTTTCCTCCCCCTTCTTCTCCTGATTGGGAACCCCTGCGGCTACGAGGGATAGGCAGAAGCTGAGCAACGGCCTGCTGCTGCTGCTTAAGTGCCTCTGTTGTTCGTCTGGCTGAAGGGGGAGGGGGTGGGGATGATGAAGATAAAGATGCTGCTGTTGCTGCTGCTGCTGCTGCTCCTGCTGCAGCTGCTGATGTTAACGGTGGAGGTGTTGATGGTTGTATACCACTTGCTGATACTCCTGCAGCAGCAGGTAGAGGAGGTGGTCCAACGGGGGGAGAGACGGTTCCATGGGATGTATGTGTATCAGCAGCAGCAGATGCAGCTACTGCTGCAGCTGTTGCTGCTGTTGTTGCTGCTGCTGCTGCTGTATCTGCTGCTGTTGGGTGTGGTTTATCCTCTAGTAGCGTCTGCTCGGAGGGATGAGCAGTGTGTGTATTGGAGTTGCTGCGTAATGTGAAATTGTTCCCGCTGCTGCTACTGCTGCTGCTACTGCTGCTGCTGCTTCTGTTGCTACTGCGGGTATGATTCTGATCCCCAGGCTGCTGCTGTCTTGTAGTAGGTGTTGGAGCATCAGGAGAACCAGTAGCACCAGCAGCACCAGGTAAGGTTTCCTTACGACGGAACCAATCCTTAGGTAGAGCATTCTTATCATTTAATAATGCTTGTATTATATCTAAATGTTCAACATTATCTAATGGACTAAAATTAACAGCATAAAGATTGGTGGTAGTACAAAGAATTGACAAACATTGCTGCAGCAATGCACGACTTTCTTGCAACTGCAGCCGTACATCAGCAGCACGCATACTCTCTCCTGCTGCTGATAATGCTAAATGATTTAATTCTTGCATTTGCTTCACTAATTGAACTAAATGCTCTAATGAGGTCGAGGCACCACCACGAGAACGCTGACGTTTCAAATCCGACTCCAAACGCTCTACACGACGACGCGTGTCCTGTACACATTTACAAACCCTAAACCCTAAACCCTAAACCCTAAAATTTTTAAGATGTTAAACTTTAAAGCTAAACAAACCATTGGATCTAAAATCGAAAGCATTAAGTCTAAAAGTTAAACCATTAGTTATCTAGGGCTTAGGGTTTAGGGTTTATTAGTTAAGACACACAAGCCAACCAAGGAAAGTTTGCCGGAGATGAATTTCTGCTGCATATCGGCCAAGAAAAAGAAAAAAGGCCAACACAAAATATGTCACCACGCGGATGACGCTGCAGCACAAAAAAGAATAAAAACAGGATAAATAAAGAATATATAAGTATAAAAAGTATAAAAAGGAGAACAAAGTAATAAATAATAAGAAGATAATGAATAATAAAGGATAAAAGACATACACAAAAGAAGGAGCGATAAAGCGAGGGTTTAGAGCGCCTCTAACAACAATTGTTGCTGCACTCGTGCCGAAGAAAGAAATATGAATTAACCAGGAATATTTTGTCCTGCAAAACATAAAAAAAGAAATTAAATTAAATTAGAATATTTTGCAAATAAACCCCTTTAGGGTTTAGATTTAATGGTTAGGGGTTTGGATTGCAGGGTGTATATTAGGGTTTAGGGTTTTGACTTTAGGGTATAACTTTTAGATTTTAGGGTTTCGGCACTAGTGTTTAGGGTTTAGGGTTATGAATTACCTGGATGGTAGGACAACATCAATAATGACTACAGGTAAAAGTCCATATAAATAACTCATTGCTGTGCATGCCTCTAAGGCAGTACTTTCTTCTGTTGATCTAAATTCATCTTTATCATCAACTTGCGCCTCTAAACTATAACTAGCTACGCCGTTCCATACACCCCACATTGTCACCAACTGTACACACAAACAACAAAGCCTAAACCCTAAACCCTAAACCCTAAACCCAACAGCAGCGGCGCTGAGCACTAATCCCCATCCCTAGTTGAATTATCACCCAGGTATTTCCAACCCCTAAACCCTAAACCCTAAACCCTAAACCCTTTATTTATTGTGTGAATACTTACAACGAATACGGCAAGAGTGGTGAGATGTTCTGCATATCCCTTAGCTTTAGCGATGCATGCAGCAGCAGCAAGAGCAGCAGAGGAGAGCATAGTAATACCCATAGCAGCATTGAACATAATACCAATATTACTTTTATGATCAAATGCCTTTTGTTGATCAAAACTCCATGCAAGAAGAGGCCACATAGCAAGAGTAAGCAGCAGCAGCAGTACCCCCATAGGGAACATACGTACATACATCCAATGATTAACATTTAAGGAAAATAAATCCTCTAATTCATTACTCGTAAACATTAAAGGAAAAGGTCTTAATAATTTTTCTGCTGTACTTGTACTACCACCACCACGCATACTGTTGCTTCTTGCTGCACCACCACTGCTGCTGCTTAATGTGCTGCTACGACTAGTTAGACGACCCCCATGACGTTTCTGCTGCTGCTGCTGCTGCAGCAGCAAATCCTCACGGGTATGAAATGCTAAATCATTACCAGGACCTAGACGACGACACCAACGACATAATCTGCTGCAGCAGCAGCATAAATAAGAAGAAGAGAATTTGCTGCCAAAGGGTAAATATAAAGAAATGTTGCTGCTGCTGCTGTTATAACTATGAGGGTATAAGGCAAATGCACCAGATACAGCACTAACACTATGATGCTCTGTCTCGTCATCAGTAAGTGCAGCAGGAACAGGAGAGGATACACCTTCTAGTCTTGGTGGTCCTCCTCCTCCTCCTCCTCCTCCTCCTCCTGTTGTTGTTCCTGCTGCTGCTGCAGGTACAGCAGCAGCAGAATCTCCTGCTGCTGTATTATCTCCCTCAGATGCTAAGGAACAACTTATGGCTCCTCCTCCTCCTACTGTCTCTAAATTAGCAAAGGAGACAGTCTTTATCCTCTGGAAGTCGCGACGACGCTCCTCCTCACGGCTGCTGCTGCTAGGTGCTGTTCCTGCTGCTGCTCCTGTTCCTGCTCCTCCTCCTCCTCCTCCACCTGTTGCTGCTGCTGATGTTGATCCTGGTAATGAAGGAGACGTCAAACTACCCGACTTACGTAATATAGGAGAAAAACTCACGGGAGGAGTGCTGCTGCTAGATGCATGCATACCGCTTCCTCCCCCTCCTCCTGCTGCTGTACCAGCAGCAGCAGCACGGCTACCCCCATAGCCAAGCAACGCAGAGGTGGGAGAAGCAGGCATTGATGCCCCCTCTCCCTGTCTCTCACGCCCCTCCATTACGAAGAGGAAAGATATTCATCAGAAATTTAATACATTTAGCAAACTTGCATGCATATAAATACGCCTTATCCTGCTGCTTCTGCTGCTGCTGCTGCTCTTGTTACTGCTGTGACGCACAAATATATACCTCTTCTTCCTCCCTATAAAGTTGTATAAGGAGGGTGTATATCTATACCCAATGTGGGGATCGATCGACCCCCTCGGATCCAACTCACACACACGCCGATGCTCCAGCTGCTCATGCACTCCACGTTGCTGATGGAGTTGCAGTCGCAGCAGCAGCAGCAACTTGTACTATGCTGCTGCTGCTTCACGAGGCAGCGGCGGCAGCAGCAGCAGCCGCTGCTGCTGCCGCTCCTGGCCCGGACCCTACAGGCGTATCCGCAAGGATGATGGCATCCAACAAAGAGAGAAGAGTAAGAGAGAGATGAAGAGAATATTTAAAGAGCGGCAGCTACATTGGTGTGTTTATGTGCAATGTTTGTTGACGGTGCTCTGTGGTGATCGCGGAGAGCAATATGGGGTATTTCGATGTTATTTTAACAGGCAAACGCTTGTAAAAGATGTATTTTCAATGAAAATATATTTTAAAGAAAAGAAAGAAGACGAAAACACCCCCAAAGGCAACAGATCGGCGGTAACCGCCGCAGCGACGGCAGTGGTTCACCTGCGGATTCAATTTGAGGTGTACTTACACCGGAAGAATCTGAAAAGCCCGCATGCACCGGGAAAAAAGAAAACACAGAAAATAAACATTTTCTACATAATTAAGAAAGCCCCGAAGCTTCTTCAAGGCAGGCCGCCAAACTCTCTGGGGCTGTTGTTGCTGTAGTTGTTTGTTTCTTTTCCAGTGTACATACAGATACCTGGAAAGCTACGAAGGAAGCTCAGAGGGCAGTGGCTTATTAATGAAACACACAAAACAATCTTATAAACTAAAAACAAATATTTATTTCCTTCACAACTTTATCTATGCAATGAAACTCCTCCCCCTATGTGCTCCGCCCCCTCCCTCTTGATCGACGGCAGTATACTTACTTGTCCGTGGTGAATGTACAAACAACCAGAAAAATATAAAGCTGCTTTCTACTCACCAATTCATAATTAATTCATTTATTCTTCTTATTAACATACAGAAACATCACTAGACCCCCGTCTGTCGCTCCGGATTTACCCATTTATTGCTCTCCTGTTATATATAACAAAAGTGATCGCCCGTACCCTCTACACCATCATCTTATACAATAAAAGAGGCAAAAAATTCTTAATATTATTTTCCTTAATAAAAATATGAACTTTCTCTCTTATATCCATTCTTATTAGCAGAGGCGTAACAAGGGCAAGGGGCCGCTGATACACAAGGGAGGAGGTAGGTAGTACATTCCTTATATAATGAATTATTCTGTATTCCTTAGTACAATTACTGGTCAAGGATAACAATACATGCAATATGCATGCACCATATTGTACTATTTTATTTAATTATTTACTAATTACTATTGAGTTCCTCTTATGCTGATTCCTTAGTAGTAGGACTGCCTGCTTCCTGTCTTATTATTGCTCCTCCTCCTTACATAAATAATAAGACAGAGGACCTTAATTATATTGAATAATTCCTTATATTAATTATTGGCAATAAATTCCCTTATTTATTGCATAATATCTATTAGTAAGGAAGGTAATTAACAAAAAAAAAGAAAGATATTCTCCCTTTTATACTCAGAGACACAATTATCTTTTTTTTCCCTTTTTTCCCTTAAGAGGAATTCATAAGGAATTCTTCCTCCTCTCCTCTTCCTTTCCTCTCCTGTGTTCTCTTATGCCAATTAATTATACCCTTTCTCCCCTACATGTTAGGAAATAAATAAATAATAAATATTATTATTTATTTACTGTCCTTGTTGCTAGTTGTATCCTCTCTCTCTTTCTCTCCCCCTCTTCCCTTCCTCCCTCTTGTCTTATAAGAAGAGGGGAGAGGCAGCAAACAAGAAAGAAGAACATATTTATATCTAAATAAGAGGCCGCTGTATTTGCATGCGTTGCTACTATTTATTTTTATACCCAAGTCTGTACAGAGGAGAGAAGAAGAGGAGGAGAACAGCAGCTCCTTACTAAGCATAAGAAGAAGAAGAATAAGAGGAGGAAAGGGAAGAAGAGGAAGAAGAGGAAGAAGAGAAATAAGAGGAAGAAAAGGAGTAAGACAAGGAAAAAGAGGAAGGAGAGGAGACATTGGCTCCTTGGGTAACGTTATACAAGAAAACAAATAACAGGGAATATAAATAAAATAAATAAATGCATTCAGCCCTTATTATAAGAGGAGAGCTCAATAAGGAGGGCAGCAGCAGCAGCAGCAGTAGCAGTAGCAGCAGCAGCAGCATATGTATTAAGCAGCAAACAGTCCTTCTTGCTGTTCCTTCGTTAACTAATAATATATATATACACATATATATATATATATATATATATATA